TCAATTGTGTAATGTTTATGAATCTTGTGTTTTCCTTGCAAAACTACATTATTCGCTTGACCAACGAAAATACTCTAATTATTGCATGAATAATTTTTCGTAACAATTATTCAATATTTTAAACTCTCAAGAATTTTCTATCATTAATATTAGGAATTTTTCAATATATGTTATATGCGATTTCCAACATTTTATATAATAAATTTCGTGAATATTACTACAATTTAATGTCCATTACGACAAAAATATTGCAATTTACAATGAAAGCCTTATTCGGCACAAATTTTCTCCGCAAATGTAACAATTTATTATTTTACGATTGTGTGGACAAATAATACGTATTTATTGTTGGTGTTTTCGATTGCGATATAACTTGTATCGAATTCTCAGATAAGAAAAGTCAGCAGCATGAAAGATGTAAAAGTTGCATCCATAAGTGATTTGTTTTTAATATAATAGCCACACTTTTTTTGATTTACAGAGAATTTCGACGGATCAGATCATCCATTGAACTAGAGGGAGCATTTTGGGTCTTTTTAATGATCGGCATTTAACTCGTCATGTAACTCATGGCTAATGATTTCACAAACATATATAATCATACTAAAAATGTTTTTTTTGCAAGTAAAAAAATTAAAAAAAAATTACTTTTGAAATATATAAACAATAAAATTATATATTATTCTTAACCCTTTTAGACTGCCAGCATTTTTTCATTAAAATTGAGGTTTTTTTTCCTCAAAATTTATCTATATAAGTAACATACACATTGTACACAATTTCGAAGATTTGTACCAAGCCACAAAAGTGACTTTGCCAACAGTTTAAGGGTTAATTAATACAATTAAGAATTAATAATACTATTAAATGTAATCAACAAGCGCGCGCAATATCATATAAGATAGGCGCGTAATTGAGCAAATGCTGGCAACGATAGAAAGATTAAACAGAGGAAGAGGCGAGGTAGATGAAGGAGAACGAAGGAGGAAATGTCGAAGAAAAGGTGGTGAAGAAAGAAGAGGAGGAAGAGATGGATATGGGACGAAAGAGGAGGAAAGACTAGAAAAAAAAAGAGAGAATAGGAATAGGAAAAGGTTAGAAAAGGGGGTAGAAGCAAAGGGAGTCGAGGAGAAAAGGGTTCAGTAGGAAAGGATAGGATAGGGGCAGAGGGACAGGGGGGAAGGGACCCAGTTATATTGTAAGGTCGCAAAATGGCCAGGTGAGAAAGAAGAGGAGCAGAATTGTATTTAAGGGAAAAGTGAGGGGGGAGGGGAGAAGGGAGAAGAGAAGTTATGATTTTCTGTTATTGTATCATATTGTATATACATTACAATGTAACAATATGTATGATAATGTTTGATATTAATGACATGTAATAATGTAAATAGGAAAAGAGAAAAGGAGGTTGTAAGGGGTTTGGCGGTTCTCTAAAAACGCCCCGGCAAGCCTTAATTAAGGGGAGTCCGGAATAAACCTGAACTATATGTAAATAATATATTTAATATATTTATAATATATTATAATTTAATTAATATATTTTTGCATAATACATTTTTATATTATAATATAATTTATTTATTTAATATATATTTAATATATTATAAATGTTTTATATTTTTGTATCAAGTTTTACATATAAATAAATATTTTTTTAGAAATTAAGTCATCGATCTCTAATTTATTACGTTCCATATACTTAATACAAGACGACAAATAAGAAATATAAATTGGAATAATTTTTTCAAGTTTTTAAATATATTCATTATAATTTCTATTAGGTCAATGAAAGGAATTGCAAAATAAGAACGCGCTTATATTGTAATATGCTAACAATAAGATATAGTGTGACAATAAAGACAATTAAATTCAAACAATTTTTTCACGTTTTTTATATGAATTTAATTATATTTTCTATGAAGTCCCATCAATTGTGATACAAAAAATATTTTTGTGGTATACAAATAACATTGTTGGTATTTTCGATTGCGATATAACTTGTATCGAATTCTCAGATAAGAAAATAATCTCTATATTTATCCGTGACAAAGGCAATTCTGCAAAAGTGATCCTGACACAAAGAGTAAACTTTGTCAGCAGCATAAAAGATGTGAAAGTTGCATCCATAAGTGTATGATTTGTTTTTAACAATAGCCACACTTTTTTTGATTTACAGGGAATTTTGACGAACCAGATTCATCCATTTAACTAGAGGGGGCATTTTGGGTTTATCTAATGATCGCGGCATTTAACTCATCATTTAATTTAACTCATTGCTAATGATTCCACAAACATATATAATCATACTAAAAATGTTATTTTTGCAAGTTAAAAAATTAAAAAAAAATTGCTTTTGAAATATATAAACAATAAAATTATATATTATTCTTAACCCTTTTAGACTGTCAGCATTTTTTCATTAAAATTGAGGTTTTTTTTCTCAAAATTTATCTATTATATATAAGTAACATACACATCGTACACAATTTCGAAGATTTGTACCGAGCCACAAAAGTGACTTTCCCAGCAGTCTAAGGGTTAATACAAATAAGAATTAATAATACTATTATCTGTAATATATATATTTAATATATTATAAGTGTTTTATATTTTTGTATCAATTTTTACATATAAATAAATATTTTTTAGAATTTAAGTCATCGATCTCTTATTTATTACGTTGCATATACCTAATACAAGACGACAAATAAGAAATCTAAATTGGAATAATTTTTTCGAGTTTTTAAATATATTCATTATAATTTCTATTAGGTCACTGAAGGGAATTGCAAAATAAGAACGCGCTTATATTGTAATATGCTAAGATATAGTAGTGACAATAAAGACAATTTAATTCAAACAATTTTTTCACGTTTATTATATAAATTTAACTATATTTTCTATGAAGTCCCATCAATTGTGATACAAAAAATATTTTATATTGTAAGCAGAGTTTCGGCGACGCAGGGTGCACGACCACCCGATACCTCTTTTTGAGTTTCTTATTTTATATTATTTTATATATAATTTATATCTCGTAATTTGATTTTACTCTGAAAAAAATGTATTGAATTCGAATAAGTATTTATTTCGCAATACTGCCTAATAAATCATTTATTTGAAACTAATAATATTGGTTTGACGCGAAAAAATATTGATTCGTAATAAATTTATTAGGCAGTATTGAAATAAAAATATTTATTAGTTTAATAATTTTTTTTTCAGTGTACAATATTTGAAGAGTTAGAAAATCTCGTAATTACATCTATATGTCAAACATGTTATGTCAAATTCAGAAGAGCAATATAAAAATCAGATTTCAAAGCACACAAGAATAAAGACACATCTTTGACGGTGAAACTTTTTTCCCATCTATGATTTTTCCCTCGGCAGGGAAGCAAATTGCTTGAATGTATATTAGTTTCCCTCTGCGTGAATTCTTTGGCATGTTTGCCGACACACTTCGTGGTCCTGTAAAAACGACTTAATTAAGAAAAGGATAGATCACAAGATGCGAAAACCGATCCATTTTGTCCACACTGATTTACCTCTTTTTTCGTTTTCTTTTGAGGGATTAAAAAACAGTATTGTATTATGTTGAACAAAATAAAAATAGAAATATTTTCTATTCAATAATTTTTTCTTAAGAAGATGTTAACAGTGCGCATTTTCTGTCTAAAATCGATCTTTTTTTCTCTAATTTATTCTTTTCTCGAATTCGTTTCTTTCTTCTTTTTGCAATCTTTTTACAATATACGGTACATATATACAGGGTCAATCTACAGTTTTGTGGCCCTTAAGCTATATGATCTTAAAGAGGCCCCATGTTTTTTACAAGCATCTTTCTTCTTTCTCTTTGCAGTTGTAAAAAAAAAACAGGACGCGCGTTGCGAATAATAATATGCAAATGTATTTTTTTATATATTTTTATATCTATTGATACAACTATTCTTGCGAAGGAATTAACGTATCATTTTCATAGTTACAAAATAAACAACTTTCGATATTTTAATTAAAATAGGAAAACTATAATTTTTTTTCGGCTGACCGCGAAACTATTGTAATAAATTTTTTTATGATATATGAATAAAAACCATAATTGATAAAAAATAGAAAAATATTCCATGACAAAATACATTCTGATTACAATAAAAGGATTACAAATGAAATTTCTTGTATAGCTAACACGTAAAACTAGCGTTTATTTTAGATTGTAAAATTCATTTCAATTCTATTTAGTTATTTAATTAACTGCATTATTTAATGTATTGAAAAATTTAGGAGTCTTGGAAGAAGACAGAATTTATTTTATCGAAATTTTGCAAATGGAAAGCTAAATTCAAAAGTAAGTAAATAATAGTATATTATGTATCAAGTGTGGAAAGTTGACAATTGTTCACTCGTGTGGGGTGGTCGCCTTCGGCTCGTGCGACCACCCCACACGAGTGAACAACTGTCAACTTTCCGCACTTGATACACACGATATTTTATATTACAAGTGCAGGCAAAGTGGCTTTGTGTGCGTTTTCTGTGCGCGAGGTGGCCGATCGCACGCCGTCATCTTGCGAAGGCACGGTGCGGGAATAGCCGTGGACAATGACTTTAAACGCGGCTCAGCCGTAGGCAATGGCTTTGAATGCGGCTTATTTACTCACCGCGTCGCCGCTAGAATAGAGGTGAGAAATCGGCCGTTTTCCGCACAGAAAACACGCACACAAAGTGCCACTTTGGATGCACGTGTAATACAAAATTTATTATTAAATAATATATACATGAAATACATTAAATGTATTTTGTTTTGGCCGATCGCACATGAAAAAAATATTAGCTAGCCTTTTATGGCTTGTATTAGCTACCCTAAAATGTTTTAAGAATTTCTTAAAAATATTTTTATTAAAATATTTAAATATATTATTAAATAATATATTTTATTATATTTTATATATATATATATATATATATGTGTGTATAATATGTTATTAAATATATAAAAAATATTATATCATATCTAAATCTTACAATTAGCTCTCTATAATAACTAGCAATTGTCAAACTTTCATCTTCGATAGAACGGAAGCAGGACGTACGAGAATTTACCCTAAAATCCTTCTCGATAATGTTGTTGGCGTTGATGAGTCGCGCCAGGCTCTCGGCGACGTTCATGTTCGTGAATTCGTCGGAGAAGTTGCTAATGTCCAATTCGTGCTTGATCACCGGAACGGTACGATGGGCGGTTTGATCCGCTTATTTTCCAGAGCCTCCCAGGTGAAATCCGGCGCGGCGTCCATGAAAAACGGATGCTCTTTGAGCTCCTTCGCGTCACGTGGCCCGCCGCCCAGCCTCTGTCGCGGATCCTTGACGAGCAAGCGGGTGATGAAGTCCCACACGGTGTCGCTCAGGTTACTCGGCTTCGGCGGTGGGTCGTCCTTCAGGATCCTCTTCGAGATCTCCTGCTGGGTGTTGTAGCCATCCTTGAAGAAAGGCGACGTGCCGGTCAGTAATTCAAATGTTAGCACACCCACGCTCCACCAGTCGACAGCCTGCGAGAATATTTTATATGAGAATGTTATTTTAGTTTATCGTTCTGGTGATCAATAAATACAATACAATCAGTGTTGTGTTTAGACGATTTTTTTAAATTAGCTAGATCAAGATTATTTTGTTTAAAATATATCTTCTAGAAGATACAATTATATGGCGATTCATCTAGATTCTAGATAATAATTTTTAAGACTGCTTATGTAAATTATGAAAGGGATATAAAAATATACGTATTCATATTTTTATTTATAAATTTTTATCGCTTACTGCCTAAGTTTTACTATTTAAGTATTTTTGTATGTGCTATGATTCTAAACCAAAATTATCTAAAAATTGTTCTAGATAATTTAGTAAAGATAATACATATTTGTATTATCTACATAAAAATAAGATGCCAAATTTTTATCTAGATGATCATCTATATAATTTTATTTAGATAACAGTAAACATTGATTACAATTGAAATGGAATGAATCAAAGTTGAATGTTTTATGCGGCTGTACATTATTATCGAACCTATATATACAGGGTGAGCTGAACTTTAGCTTGCCTTCGAACTCGAGTTGTATATTTGACAAATTTGTTTTATTTTACAAAAATAATTGTAAATTTAATTAAATAGAATGTTTCGTTTATTGAATTGTTACTAGAGATTAAATCTACTATTTATTACCGTATTAATGAAACTGTTTTTCTTGTAATTCTATAATTATAATTGTAATAAAACCTCTGTTCATTTTCACTTACACATATTTTATTTACTTACATATTTCGCAACTATTAAAATTTGAAATTAATTTTTCTTGCGAAAATTGATTTAATATCCCACATTTTATCGCTTTTCAACAACACGTCACCAAAAATATTACCGTAAAAATTTCATTATTAAGTTCAAATTAATTACATTAATTATTTAATAATTAATCATTAATATTAATTATTTGTAAGCTAAAAAATTGAAAAATCATCATAAATCCGATTTGCGAAAATATTTTCATTATTAATCAAATATAATTTTGTAGAAACCCTCCGTTATCAACTTGAGAGATCCGCTGGTGTAAACATATCTCATGATAACTTACAATATCGTGGCCGCTGGAACCCCCTTGCACCACTTCCGGGGCCATGTATTCGATGGTTCCGCAAAATGAGTAAGTGCGCGCGTTGCCGTTCCTCTCGTGCGGCAAAAATTCCTTGCTGAGACCGAAATGCGTCAATACGAGATGCCCATCTCTATCCAGCAGAATATTTTCGAGCTTGATGTCTCGATAGATTATGCCAAGCTGCGACAAAACGGAGAGAGAGATTCGTTAATTATATTTTTAATATAAACCAACTATTACATTTCAAACTAAATTAAATTGATTTTTTAATTAAATTTAATAAATTTAAAATTTTAATTAAAAAAAACTTGTCAGGAATTAAAGCGAAAAATACTTTACTATTATTTTTGTCTTGTACATGGAGAACCGATAAAATATTTTTGTCAAAAATTACTTATATGTTTATGCATATTATTATTATTATTATATTTTGTTATTAATACATACCTCGTGGAGACGTTCTAGCGCCAAAACAATTTCGCCGACGTAAATTCGTACTTCCCTCTCCGCAAATTGAGTGTTATACAGATGCGTAAACATCTCACCACCAGGAACATAATCTGCAAGTGGAAAAAAATATTTTGTCCAAATTCTCTCCTGCATCCGAATTTCACGGTATTTTTGTTTTGCTTTTAATTGATAAATATATAATATAATATTATATGATATAATATAATATAATGTAATATATAATATATAACGTAATATAATGTAATACAATATATAATATTATATAATGTTATATAATACATAATATAATATATAATATAATATAATATAATATATAATATATAATATAATTATATGATATAATATAATATTATAGATAATATTTAGCCAGGCAAAATAAATATTTTGTTATTGTACCAATTATTTTTATCGTTTTAATCATTTTAATTATTATGATTGCTTTTTCAACATTTTGATATTTTTATCATATATATTGAATAAAATAATCTACTTTATCCATTTCTATAATTGCTATATTTATTAATTTTTTTTCTTATTTTGCTTATAATTTCTCGTCGAAGCTTACCTAAGATTAAACAGAGCATTTCATTAGTCTGAAACGCGTAGTACAGAGTTATTAAAAAGGGACTGTCTCGGATGGCCTCCAGGATCTGCCTCTCGGTCTTCGTGTGCTCTGTCGTCTTCTTCTTCTGCACGATGGAAGCCTTTTTCAATAACTTCATGGCGTAAAGTTGACCGCAGTCCGCACCCATTCTTTTTCGCACCAGGTAGACTGTCCCGTAAGCTGTCACATTGATACATCTTTGATTTTTCATATTTATAATACACATATAAATGATATATCATAGATGAAAATTTTTTGATACAGCATACATTTTATAAATAGTAATATAATAAGTATAATTCAACATGAATATTTTATAAGATATTTAATGTAGATATATTATTGAACGTATATTATTATCAAGGTTGGGTGAGTTAATGATTTTTTTTTTTTTAACTAAGTTGAGTTAAAGTTAGTTGTTGCTCATAAAATTAGTTAAGTTAGAAGTTGCATGAATAAAAAATTAACTCGGTGAAAGTTAAGATTAAATTGACTCAAGTTAAACCAAAAATTAATTTTTAAAAACATTTATATTAAGTTAGAATTTTGATTTTTATATAGAAATATATTTTTGGTGATTACAATTGATGACAAATGAACATAAAAATTAATAACACTTAATTTAAAAATAATAGGTTTAACTTATAAAAAAAGAATAATGGTATTCAGAAATAAAAAAATTTAACTTGGGAAGAAAGTTAATAAGTTTAAGGTCGAAAATAACTAGTTAAAGTTCAAAATTAATACATTTTAAATTAACTAAGCTAAGTTATTAACTTTTTTAACTTTCAACTAATTAACTAGTTACCCAATTCTATGATTATTATAAGTAAGCCTGAAGATGAATCGTGTCTTTTAAAGAAAATAAAAATAAAATAAAATAATAATAAAATAAGCTCGACAATCGAATCTCTTACCTCCAGTGCCAAGGATTTTCAGTATGTCGAAGTCTGTCATATCGACTTTCTGGTTTCCACTATCCGCCAAATTTACTGTAACAAAAGAGAAAAAACATCCGGTAAAACCACTTATATTAATGTGCTTTCGGTGAAAAGATCAGTGGAGCAAATATCTATGCCGTTTACGACACCCGTTATAATCCGGCGATTCGGGAAAACCATTACGGAACCGATCGCCGGTTGTGCTCGCGTACCGTAAAGCGACTTTTACAAAGTAAAAACTTATGTAAAAATCCGCGACCGAATTATTCCCAGTGGGTCCAATTCAATGTACAGCGAGACAATATTTTTATATAAAATATCGAAATGTGTCTCTCAGAAAGAGTTGCGAGTAAAACAACTGGAAAACAAGTAAAACCTGCGCATATTTTTTTCGTTTTTTTTCATACATTTAATGCATTCGATGATTTTTGTTTAAAAAAAATAAAGTGAGATTTCGTTTTACCTAATAAAAATTTTTATTAAAGTAGAATCGACTCAAGATTGATGAATAGTCTCGGAAATGATGAAGTAGGACGCCTACATCGATTAATGATTTCTGTCTAACAACTCTCTCTCTGATATATAATATAAAATACATTTCTATGTACATTTGTTATATATGTTTATTATTTTTTAATATTATACATACAGAGAGAATTTTCTCGTAGAATTTATCCTAAAAATCATTGTGTGATTGCACAAATTATTGAAGAATTTTATTGGCAATCAAATGAAATATCTGACGCGTCGTTTTCTTTTTCGTTGCCTAACTACTTTATCTTATTAAAAACAACGGAATGCGATAACGTTCCAGCTATGTATTGAAGATTTAAGAGATATCGCACTATATATACGTGTATATATTAGGAAAGGATGACTAATAAGGCTATTCCCCTGTCTTATTCTTACTTCGTTGACTCATTCAAAGGCAGCACAAAAAAATAGGTCTCTCGTGACAAGGAAATACGGTCGCTTATTCTGTCAAGAGATAATAAGCGGCATCGTCACTTTCACTTTTTGTGCATCTTCTTCTCTTCCATCGCTATCTCCTTATTTTTGTATAAATCTCTTTTTGAATTTTTAAGCGAATTTCAATCGAGACGAGATGGCAGAGAAGGAAACCGAGAGATCTGGCTGAATCTAGCGCTAGAAAATCATCGCCGAAGGTTAACGCGATCTCACGCGAGAGGTTCCGCTGGGAATCTCCGATATCCTGGATAATTTGCGTGCCACATCCAGAAGGATGCACTTGCAGCTTGCCGATTCTACACCGTTGTAGAAATTAATTCAAACGCTCTATGTATCTCAAGGTATAGTTATTCTTAATGGCTTCGAAACTCTCTCCCCTCGTAACAAGCGTAATGAGCAGCCTAACGAGTCGTCTCGTTAAGAATTTGTTCTTAATATCCTCGAAATTTTCTCTTAAATCATCTTTGAAAAACCTTCGATAATATTGTATGCTCAAAGCGCCCAAGAGATAATACTTGACTCCGGACATTAGAAGTGAATAATTACGCTTGGAAATTTTAATGTGTCCATATAAGCCTCGAAAATGAACCTTGATTATAACTAATGACTAATGTTTTTCGAATAAAAATTCGATTATTTCTGCTTAAGGCTCGCACCATTTTGCTCTACACTTTTATCACATCTAAAAATAGCATATTTTATTTATATCATAAAAAATTTTTAAATGCAAGTAATTTAAAAATTTTTTATCAGGGGGTCGGACATTATAAGCCCCCCTCATTAATGTTTAAGGGTTAAAGGTATTCCGCGATTACATAATCGTATAAAAACGCGGTTGAAAAAAAAGCAATGGAACTCGAGCTCCCTTTTTCAATAAATTCCCAAACGTCAACGCTGCAATATCGATTTGATTGGAAAAAAATATATTTAAAAAAAGATATACATATTAAAAGTCACAATACAAACATATAATACAAATAATTAATTCAGATATATTAAATCAGACACAATAAATTGTTCTACAATACAGTCTTCTGAGAAAGTCGATTTCTCCCACAGCTGTTACGTTTATAAATATAAATTTAATTGCGCGAAAATTAATATCCGACAATAAGATGAAAAAATACGGCGAGTTGCAATTGCAATCGTAATCGCGCGCTTAACTCGGCCAGCGATTTCGAGAATGTCATAACAAAACAATCCGTACCATTAATCGCATAAAACAGGCTGTTAGTGCCGCTGGGGAATTCGCCCGTGCCCTTCGCGATGATTGCAAAAACGGGGCACTCCATGGTGGCACGAACCATATGGTAAGTATACCGTGGCACAACCGTTACTTGGTACCGTACTGTCTCGATGTATATATGTATACATTCCACTGGACGGCGGAACGTGTAAGGCAGTCACATGCGGCAAGAAAGAAAGAGGGGAGAGAGAGAGAGAGAGAGAGAGAAGCTGCAGCGAGGATCTCTCTCAATTAATAGGGGTGAGATGGAATTTAATTTTTTGCCATTATCTCGAAAAGTATGAATTTTTCGAGAAAAATAGTTATTATCAAAATTGTAGCTTATAAAATTCTCTACAAAAAAGGTTATTATACTTTTTTTGTGGAATTAATCGTTTTAAAGATATAGAGCGAATTAAGTCTGAAAGAAAATGTGCACACGCCGCGTTGCGTCGAACAATCGGACCAGAATGAATAACGAAGCTCATTCAGTCCCGATTAAATGTGCATCCTACGTATGTATCAATACCTTGATAGAATCAATAAAACCGCAAAGAATGCGAATGAGATATATAATGTTTCGGTAGTATATGCAGATGGAATCCGCGGACTATTACACGCGGGAAAATTTTTACTCGGATTCTCTTTTTTCCGGAAATTATATATAGTCCAGTAAAATTAGATTTGAAAAGGACAAAACTGCAAAAAAATTATAATTAAGCTGAATTTTTGTGGAGACTTTTATATCGATGTTCTAATGAAATCCTGAAAAATACCTTTAAATTCATGGGGAGTAAAAGAAGGTAAATTTTAGTTTTTTGCCATTATGTCGAAAACTATTCAATTTTTCGAGAAAAATAGTTATTATTTGTCGGTTTGTTTAAAGATCACAAAAGTCAGAATTTAATCCTAGATATAGATGGATCCATCTTGTCCACACTTGATTTATCTTTTTTTTTAGGGACTGAAGAATAATATTGTACTATGTCGAACAAAGTCAAAGATGAAAATGTTTTTCCTTCGAATTTTTTTGCCTAAAAAGATGAGTGCGCATTTATCTAAAATTGATGACCTTTTTTTATTGCACTTTCTCGTACTTTCTCTCTGAATTCGTTCCTCTATTCTCTTTACAATATACAATACATATGGTTGTGTGCAAAATAGCACAGTTGGAAATGTGAGGGAAATTTTTGGGTTTCCTTCGCCACGTCTACATCTAGGATTAAATTCTGACTTTTGTGATCTTCAAACGAACCGACAAATACCAGGAACTCCTGTAATGGTCACTTTGGCGGTGCAATTTTTTACAGTAAATCTTTTTGCCCACCTATAAATTTTCGCTCGGCAGGGAAGCAAATTTTTTGAATATATCCTATTAACTTCCTTCTCTGCGGAAACTCCTGGGATGTTTGCCGACATGCTTCGATAATCCTGTCAACCCTGTCGACAATTAAGAAATCTTTTCTTAACTGTCATTTTGACAGGATTATCGAAGGGTGTCAGCAAACATGCCAGGAATTCCAGCAGAGAAGAAAAGTAATATATATTCAAGCAATTTGCTTCCTTGCCGAGCGAAAAATTTTGCTTCTTCTGAATTTGAAATAACCTATATAAATGTATTATAATTACGAAATTTTCTAATTCTTCAAATATTGTCCACTGAACAAAAATTATTGAATTAATAAATATTTATTTTAATACTGCCAAATAAATCGTTTGTTTGAAATAAATATTTATTTGTTTTGAAAAAAATTTTCTTATATCAAATAAAATAAATGATTTATTTGGCAGTGTTAAAATAAATACTTATTCAAATTCAATAAATTTTTTGTTTAGTGTACTTTTGTTCTGTTATTCCATTGGATTTAATAAAATTAAACATATGAAATCAGGGAGTTAAGATTCAGAAAGATGATAAAGATAGTTCACAGAAAAGTCTGAAATATTCAAAATAATTAGTGAAAAATAAAGACAAGTTTATCTGGTTTTTATTAGCCCTTTTCAAGATGTCCAGCAGACTCGATGAAAAAGTTTCCTGATTTTTCCAGATTTTCCAAAACCAGAAATTGATTTTTTCCCTGACTTTTTAGTATTATTTTTCCCAAATATATAAGTTGCATATATCTATAATATATGATAAATCAATTTAATGATTAATCATCTTTTTTATTTATATCAAATTTTATTTTTAATATATTTTAACAAATTATAATATATATATTTGAATATATTTAATGGTATATCTAATATCACAACAAAACTTTTAAATAAACCATTTTCAATCAAATTAATGTATTAATTTTTAATAAAAAAATCCAGATAAGTAATAAAATGTTCTGACATTTCCCTGACAATTCCAGATTTATCAAATTCCCTAACAATGCTCGGTTTCCCGCATTTCCCTGATTACTTGCATTATTACTCTGCGTTACTCCACTGACAGTACGTTCCTGTCATGTGAAAAACGCGACGCTCCCTTTAACACGTTGCCATATGAGAACTGATGTATGAAAATGCGAGTCGCGAAGATAAGAGCAAAGTTGTTGCACTTTCTCTCGCTCGATAATCTCCCTTCAGGGGGACACGTTCGATTAATCGAAGATCATCCGAGACGTGTTGAGCAACGCACGTGTGCTCCAGCAAGCCCTGCTCCAGATATCCGTTCCGATACTTATCCGATATATCTCGCACGGGAAGGCACGCTTCAACATATATTGATTCGTTACGATTTTATATTTAGACCCGCGACGTCGCTGATCGGCTTGTTTACTTCGCCCGGTACACATCTTTCCAACGAACGAGGGGAAAAAAAAATTCCAAAAGTCCATGAACCCCGAGCGAGAAGTCGCGAA